GGGGGGGGGGCCCAAAGCAGGGGTGTCAAAGCAAAGCAGTGCCCATGCTAATGTGAGGACAGAAACAGCTGCACCCTGAATCCTGGGACATGGGACTGGCTCACCTGGTGTCCACACCTGCTTGGCCACAAGGACCCCTTCCAGCTCTGATCCCCCCAATAGAGGCAGGCTCCATCTCCCTCCCCCAAACCACTGACCTGGGGGTATGCCCCATTGCATGACCTCGGGCAGGTTGCTTCCCCTTTCTGGCTCTGCTCCTTATCACTTTGGTGGGGTAACAAGAGGGCCCCGCTCTTGGGGTGAGCCAGTGCAGCGCGGACTGCAGACGCCGTGCTTCTGGCATAATGAGAGCGATAGCAACTGATGACTTCCACGCGCTGGTGCGTTCTGGGGCTCTCCCCCAGGAGGGGAGCACATCGTTATTCCCAGCTTACCAGTGCAGAAACCAAGACCCAGAGAGGTCAAAGAAAATCCCCGGGGCATGGACTCAAGCCGGTCTGGCGACGCCAGTCTTTCGCTCCCACCCCCCGCAGGCTTCATGAGCTCCCGCCGTCCCCAGCATCTGGAAACGGGCTCACTCTCCCCGTTTTAGGAAGGAGGGAGCTGCAAGTGATTTGCCCAAAGTGGTTTGGCATGGTGGTGGGAGGAGTCTCCCGTTTTTGCTCACTGCGGCACGCTGGTCCTCCCCTCGTCCTCCGCCCTCCCGATCCTCGTGGCCACCACCACCCATGGTGGCAGAAGCCCTCTCCCGGGCACTTACTTTGCTGTGGGCACAGATGGCCGAGCCCAGGAGCTTCCAGGTGCCGCCCCTGCGGTCCATCCGCAGCATGCGCAGGATCTGCAGGAAGCGCAGGCTCCGCAGGGAGGTGGCCAGGACATTGCCCTGGTTGCCCACGGCGACCACGGGCACCGAGGCGATCAGCACGAAGATGTCTGGGAAGAGACAGACAGAAGGTGGCAGGAGAAGGGAGCACCTGGCGTCAGGGCCGGTGTCTATGCATTGTCTTGTCGATGCGTGACATCGCCCACTGTGGCACACGGGGCCGTCCCCTGGCACGGGAGACCCAGGTGGTACACGGGGCTGTACCCTGGCATGGGAGACCCAGGTGGTACACGGGGCTGTCCCCTGGCAC